TGACTGCTTTTCAATGCAGTAGTGCTTCGTATGCTAAACTGTGAAGCACATGGATACCTTACGCCATGTAAGTAGTGCCATTCGTTTCATGCCTAAATTCACTGCAGCAGTAGTGCTTTTGGAACAGCAGCCTGGATTTTCATCCAGTCAATTAGTGCCTTGCTAATAAGCGAGGTAATATGCATGATTGATGATATTGCTTGAAACGTATGGTTTGCCAAATATTAGGCAAAAGGCAGGACATTTCGTTACAAACCGTTCAAGAATGTTTGTTCTAAACGACATCATCCATCAACAACGTGAGACAGAGCTAAAATACAGTCTGAAAACATCTGACAAGCCTTAACAACGGCTAACAGCACCAATTCCTGTTCTACTTCTTCAACATGCTTGTTAACAGCCAGATCCACCTGCCGCCAGCCCAAACATCGTCTGACAGCCCCATCACTGTTAGAGAATCTGTTAGGCTAACATTCCCTAACAGGCACGCCTGTTAGCCGCTGTTAGACCCCCTATGAGTTGGTAGGGCTTGCCCCGCGCCTGGGTCCTGTCTCCTCTCCCCATCACGCCTACCTCACCTATCTTCCTCTGCCATTCAGGCACTGCCGGAGCCTACCCTGCCCCAGATCCTGGCTGCACACGTCAGCCCCACCAGATGCCAGGAGTATGACAGTGCGGTGTTTCCTGTTCTCCGTGGCTTCTAGGTGTACAGGTATTGCCCCAGGGCCTTCAGCTCGCAAGCTATGATTGTATGGGTAGTTTTACCTGCAGCTAGCCATGTACATGTAATACACACATATGCAAGGTGATTCATAGGTGATTTGATTATAGGTTATGAATTCGCTTATCATGATCATGATGAGTGAATCTGTTGAGTGAATCTGTTAGATTAATCTAAGAGGCCTGTCTCGTATTATTACACCCAGACACATGTCGATGGTTTTCATGAAATTTCATGGTATATTCACTGTTTTGCAATCACTGTGATGTATTACCTATCCGGGAATTATAAGAGCTCCATCCGGCATTAATTACATAATGTTTTCATGGCTGATGCATTCTTAATTCATACTTATATGACATACTTACATAAAACCGCTTAATCCCAGTGTAAGAATGATTAAGAATGCACACCCGCTGCCTCCGTGTTCTTCAGACGTTCTTATCGTTCTTAAGCATTCTCCTAAGTTTCTTAACCCCCCTCCGCGTTTGTAGGGCACCTACAACAAATACACACACCCCATCCATCATATCAATTTACCACCATACATACACCTCAGTGTATGATCTGCATACCAACAGAAATTTCTACCATCTAAAACAAAGGCAGATTGCATAGTGCATATGCATGTGTGTACCCGAATGCACCTATGTGACTTATTATGCATGGCACGATATTACATAAAAATGACATGTTCATGGACAATCAAATAAGTA